TTTGATCATTTCTATCCTTCAAGATGCCTTAGGGTCTGGGGCTGGGTAGAGAAAAGTAGAATCTCTAATTAAGCAGACTTCTTCTCCAACTCCAACCTCATTAGCATCATTATTAAGAATAGACCCTTTGTCTTTAAGACCAGTATTATTTTTCCATCTCAGTCTGTTATGCTATTTGATCATCCTCAGAACCTTGTTGAGAAAGTCTAAAATGTAATTTTGTTTTCATTTTATATATGGGGAAACTGAGGCATAGGGAGGTGAAATACCGTGTCCAAGATTAACCAATAATCAGAGATAGATCAGGAGCTTGAATCCAGGGTTTCCGACTTCAAGGATAAGAACTCTTAACAATAGCGCTAACCTGAGCCTTTGCTTATACTTCAAGGTAAACTAATCTCATTTTCCTAAGATTTGGTCTTCCAAGCTTTCAAATGAGAATAACAATCTCTGTGTATCTTAAATAGTGTCCTGCAGACGTGCCTCAGAAACTCAGGGACATGGCATTTCACCTTGATGCCCCAGACAAATGAAAATAAAAGTCAACTGGTGGCAGTATCATCTATGTCTGTTCACTTACAGAAAGTCCATCTGCCTCAGGCTTTTGAAGCTGAACTCTTTTCTTCCAAAAGGAAAAGAAAGTTTCTGGCATATGAAATCTCAACTGGGGAAGACAGACTTTGCTAATGGCACCCCACCCACATCAAGTCTCCTAGCTGGATAGAGCAGATTTCTAAATGTGTCACCACACGAAAGGGAATGAACCTGAAGTGAGGAATTCCCTGATGTGAGGGGAAGATGGCGTGGGATGGAGAAATCAGAGTGCCCAGTGCAATCCCACTATCAGCTAGTCACCACCTGGCTTACAGCTCCATTTCCTTCTCCCTAAGGCGCAGTCTAAAGAAAACAGTCAAAGAGTGCAGAGTTTAAACTATATTTGGATGAGAGTATATACATCGGGGATGCCACATTTTGGTCATTTATTCGTTCATTCAACAAATATTTATTGAAAGTGTATTATGTTTTCAGAATGTATATGTGTATAAAAGTGTGTGCATGTGCACATGCATGTGTATATCTGTGTATAATTTTCATAGTACCCCTCACAATGAAATGTACTGTATTATTATCAATGCCACCTAGCTACTACATGGAAGTTATTTGACCTTGGTATTGACTTCAGACTCTTTTCACTACAACCTGCTTAGTAACAAGCAGAAAGTATTTAAGGAGCACCAAGTAAATTGATGTAATGAAAACAAGACCAGTTTGTTTTAATGTTTTGTTGTTGCTGTCTTTGTTTTTTCTGGCTGCACATTTGTATTCCATTCCTCACTCTGTTCTCTTCTGTGCTTGGGGCAAAGGGAGTAGAGAGGGAGAGAGAATTCCCCAGACACGGGCTGGCAGATGTAGCTCAAGGGCCCCCGGGACACTAGTAGCAACAGAAACTGAATAGCTGTGTCCAAGGATGTTATTTTAAAAAGGGACTCACAATAGCTTTGTCAGCAGAATCTTGGAAAGAAACTGCACCTTCTCTCTTTCTTTCTCTCTCTCTCCCTTGTTTTCTTTTTAACTCCATCTTTGTTTTCTGTCTTTTAACTCTTCCTCTACCTCTCCATATATAATCTGTCTACTTATCGACCTGCCTACATACCTGTTTACCTACCTATGTCTGTTTCTACCTTTCCTCCATCCTCAGGTTCTGCTGACCTAGCAGACAAATTTATTGTGGTCTTAAACATAATCAGGAAGAAATTAGCCTTTAGAAGAACTAAAATCTAACCCCAATTTCTGTCATTCTGAGAGGTTTTTTGCTAAGGAAATTAAGTCATTTTAGAGACTAGATCCTACCCTTATAGAGAATATGATCTAACCCTATTTTTATTTATATTGGAGGAAAAGATAGTGATACCAAGAGTTAGGCACCCCTATGATCTTATTTCCAAGAGGCTGTTTTCGTCATTCTGTAGCTATGGCATGTAGGGGGAGGATTTCTCTGCTAGGTATAAAAAGGCCAGTCTTCTACTTCTTGCTCTGCTACCACCTGTCTCTGTGACCTGGAAGCAGATGCCTTCCTCCTCGAGCTCACAGTTTTCCATTAGATAAAATGGATGAAGGGGCCAGCATTGTACCCACAGTCATCTGAAATCACTGCAACAATGCTGGGTAAACATCATTACCTCCATTTTTTTTCAGATGATGAAAATGAAGTTCAGAGAGGTTAGGTTATTTTATTTATGTCATCTTTGTAGTGCTTATAGGAAGCAGAATTCAGATTTGTACCTACTTCTGCCTGATGTGAAAACCCTTGCTCTTTTCAGTTCTCTGTATTGAGTTTCTGAAGAGTGTACTCTGGATTTATGGCTGGTCACTCTTGGATTGGGCCTAGGTTATATGGTATGTAGAGAGGCCACATTCACAAGAGGTTGGAGCTACTGAGAAGTGCTGAGCCTATATTCTTTCTAGGGTTGAACTGCCATGAATGCTACTGGTCACTTATAACTAATTGATTTATTCTGTTTCTTTTACTCGTTCTTTCTTTCTTTTTCTTTTTTATTTTTTGTTTGTTTGTTTGAGACAGGGTCTTTCTCTGTCACCCAGGCTGGAGTGCAGTGGTGTGATCACTGTTCACTGCTGCCCTGATCTACTGGGCTCAATAAATCCTCTCACCTCAGCCTCCTGAGTAGTTGAAACTACAGGTGTGCACCACTGTGCCCAGCTAACTTTTGTATGTTTTGGAGAGACAGGGTATCATCATGTTGCTCAGGCTCATCAGATTGTTCAAGCAATCTACCTGTCTTGGCTCTCCCCAAAATGCTGGGATTACAGGCATGAGCCACTGTGCCCGGCCCTATTTGGGCTCCTTTGATAGTATTTCACTAGGTAAACTGTCACCAGAAATAAACAAGGGATTTTGCAGCTTGGAAGAAGTTCAGCATTCTGCTGCCCCTGAAACCAATGACTTCTTTTCAGATACTCAAGGTCATAGAAATCTGTCTTGTTTCTCCTTGGTGGGGGCTCTTTCTAGCTAGGGGAAAGTTGCTTGAAAGTGTTTCAAGTGAGCACTGATTTCACAAGCTGATTTAATTCCTCCATTAGAAGAAAATCGACCCCTTAAAAGAAGAGTATTTTTTTCTCTCTCTCTCTCAGTGATTATTGTAGGATGTACAAAGCACATTTATGTTCATTTCCTATTAGAGTTCTATGGTTATCCTGAGAGATTATCCTGGTTGGGACTATAATTTCTACATTATAGATTGGGGACAGGGGGCAGAGGCCAAGAAGTAAGTGAAGCCAGTTGTGCAAAGTTACACAGCTAATATAAGGGACAGAAACCAAACCCTGGTGTTTGGCCCTAAATTCAGTGCCCTCTCCAGAGCTCCACTCTATTATTTTGTGGAAGAATGTTCTAAATCAAGCAGAAGCCTTAGGGTGACCATATATCCTGATTTGTCTGAGAGATTCAGATTTTCCCAGGATGTGTTCCTTTTGTTTGGACATAATTTTTAATAGCACCACTATCATTTTCAAAGTGCTCTAGTTTGGATGATAAATTATATAGTAACCCTAAGACACTGGCTAGCAACTATATTTCAAGTAGCTCAGAATCTTTCAGAAGTCCTGCAACATGTAGACTTAATAGCAGCACAGTGTGATAAGTGTTAAGATAGAAATCTTTATAAAATAGGCACCCACACAGGAGGTGGTATTTAGCTTTGCCTAGAAAAGTTGGGAAAATAGCACAGAAGAGCTGGTGCTAGAATTAGTAAAAAGGTGGACAAGGTGATCTCTTTTGGATGGCCACATTGAGGTTTTTCCTTGTATTGTTCTGTGTTGAAATATCAAGAAACATGCATAGGTCATACCTACTTAGAAGGCATCCTACTGCTCGCTTTGTGCTTCTGTTATCCTTGTCCTTGCAGCTAAGTGAGAATCATTGCAACCGGCTACAGCTTTAAATCATTCCAAACAGAAGCCCTTGCTGTGGTTTAGATGACATGGGAGCTTGAGAATTCACTTGGTCTTTAACTGAAACTCCTAGGGTATCTGACCAGCCCTTGGAAGCCTATAGCATTAGACAGGAAGGGTTCTTGGCATCTCAATAGTGTAACCTCTTTCTCTGCTCTGATGGTTGAGCCCAGTGAGGCAAGGAGACTTGTTCAAATTAACAGAGCAATTTGGTTTCAGATCTGGAATTGAAGCAAGTGTCCTTTGTAAATCAGTTCATGTTTTAATGCAAAACTGAAATCCTCTTTGGAGTTAAATAACCCCCAGTTTGCATCTGTGAAATTCTGTTGTGTCAACTGCACTCAGAACTTGGAAAGTGAATGCCTGAGTTGGAGACCCAGATCAGGCATTAACATACTGTGTGATATTGGGCAAGTTATTAAAGATGTATGGAATCTCAGTTTCCTCATCTGAAAGAATGATATCTTCCTCACAAAGTTTTTATGAGGAATATTTGGAGTAATGAAAGTGAAAGTGTTTGTGAACTTTTTATTACAGCGTAGACACACAACACGAGGTCCACCTTCTTTACATATTTTAAATGTACAGTCCAATATCGTTAACTATAAGCACACTATTTTACAGCAGATTCCTATAACTTTTTCATGTTGTGCAACTGAAACCATATACTCACTGAAAAGCAACTCTCCATTTCCTCCCCCTCCAAGACCCTGGAAACCACCATTTTACTTTCTACTTCTATGAGCTTCCCTACTTTAGATGCCACTTATACGTGGAATCATGCAGTATTTGTCCTTCTGCGACTGGATTATTTCCGTTAGCATGGTGACCTCAAGCTTCATCCATGTTGTTGCAGATGACAGATTTTCCCTCTTTTTTTAAAGACTGACTAATAGTCCATCGTGACTAATGATGATGGGCTTGACAGTGCCAATGGTTTTGGTGGTCTGATTCTACAGCTGCTGATGATAGCTGAGGCCAAAGAACAAATATTTATTTATTCTCTCCCTTTCTATGTCAATCTTCTGCAGATGAACCCAGCCGGTGCTATTTCCATGATGGTGATGGGGTATGTGAGGAGTTTGAACAAAAAACCAGCATTAAGGACTGTGGTGTCTACACGCCCCAGGGATTCCTGGATCAATGGGCATCCAATGCTTCAGTATCTCATCAAGACCAGCAGTGCCCAGGCTGGGTCATCATCGGACAGCCAGCAGCATCCCAGGTAAGATCCTAACCATGTGTGACATTTCCTGCAGACATTCAAAATCTCCGCTATGCCCCACAAGGCTACTCACCTCTAAGGCAGTGTCATTGGATGTGGCCACTGGAGCATATCTTTATTAAATGTACTGTTAGGGCTTCATGAATACCATTTGTAAAGGATTTGATCTGGAATTGTTAGGGCAGGGAACATTGTATGATGGGGTAATGACTTTCCTCCTATTTCCTTGCCTGTGATAACTAATATTTGGAGAAAGAACTCCATTTTGCATATACCATGTGTTTCAATGAGGTAAGAATGAATTTATATTAGAAGTCCCACTTTTTAGGGGGTGCCAACTGTGTACTCCCTGATTTAACAGTAATTCTACAGTAATTTGCTATGTGGCCTTAGACTAGTTCCCCCACCTCTCTGGGCCCTATTTTTCTCCCTCATCCTTAAAATACAGAGTAGTTGAGCTTGTTGATCTCCAAGGGCCTTCCCAATTCTAAGAAGCTGTGACTCATGCCTCAGTCCCCTAATGCACTATTTATGTGGCACAGTTCTTCTCCCGGGGACTGACAGCTTAGTCCAGGGAGTGAGAGTTTTGGGGCCACCAGTGCTTATATGATTCTAGAGATGGCCATGCTGTCCCGAGGGCCCCCTTTCCAATTATCCTGCCAAGGAAGCACCTGCCTTCCCCAAGACTCACATTTCTCAGGGGCATGACTCAGCGCTTCTGGTTGCCTGGCCTAGTGGCCTTTCAGAGACCAGCCTGCCTCCTGGCCTTGCAGATGAGCTGCTACTCCCAGACATTCCTTTCTAATACTGCTTTCTTGATTTAGGTTCAGTGGGGTAGGCCTGGCTTCTAGATGAAAGAAAGATATGACCTTCCTCTGGGGTCCAGTGAAGAATCACTGGGTGAGGTACAGAGTAGGACTACCTCATTTTTAGTTGTTGCATGTATTTGATTATTTCTTCATTCATTTTTTGTTTATGTTTACATTACTAAAGCCTTTATTCATTTGCATTTATTTTTGAATGCCCTCAGGAGAGTGGAAACAAATGGTAACATGGCATTTCCTGATGCTTAATATGTATAGTGCCAGCCTGCTGAATGAATGAATCAGTGCATGGATAGATGAATGGCTAGGGTTCATCCTCCCAGTGTGCCACCTCTGTGCTTGGTGGAATCATCTGTGTGGTTGCATTTATCATACTGAACTCTGAGGTATCTGTTTGTCTGTCTGGCTCCCCCATTAGGCTGCTGGTTCTTTGAGAACAAGTTTCAGTTTATTCATCTTTGTCCCCTCGTCTTCAAGCACAGGCTAGATAGGCGCCCAGCAAATGTGTGTTTAATTGACTGTAGATACACACACATACACACACATACATCCCATTGCCACATGCAAATGAATGACACTGACAGAAAACACTCAAACATTGCCTCTCTATCACATAGAATGTCCTGCTTCAGAAACAACAGGGCTGGGGCCAGCAAAAGAAACAGGAATTCCAAATTCAACACTAGCATCCAGTTCTTAGAAATGTTTTAAAAACAACCTTCAACCAAGAGAATTATTAACACACTCAGAACCTCCCATGAGCAAGAGTTGAGGTAGCAGCTGTGCTTAAAAATCACCCAAAGGTTATTGCGACTAATGTGAGAAAAGGAGAGAAAAAATTTTCCAGTCTTAGCATTTGAAAAGAAGCTTCATGGGGCAATTATTCCAATCTTGTAAGGAGGGGCTGTCAGGAATTACTGGTGATTATCTCTTCCTAAACAAAAATCCAATTTAAAAAATCATTATAAATACTAGCTCTTCGATCTACAAAGAGGAGATGAGGAAACAAAATCATCCTATTGAATTATTCATTGTAACCAATTTTATTTTAATGAAATCGACTAGGTTCCATTACTCTGGGCTTGGACATAATCTTTGTTACAAGGAGATTTCAGCTGTAACTAAATTTGCCATAATGAGATCAGCTCACTGGAGAATACAGGGTCAGGGGAGGGAATATGTGTGCAGGCTGGGTGCAGGGCCAGGCTGAGGGCAGCGGAACAAAAGTCTTCTGAATTCCTCATCTGAAAGCAAGTACCTAGAAGTCATTCGCACACACACACACCCTAACACCACCACACACAGGGGCACAGGCACACGCATACACATGTACATGGGCACACAGTCACACACACACAGACACACACACACACACACACAGAGCCTGCATAATTAGAGGTAAGGGCTATTCCTGAAGTGCAAATGTACCTTCCTTCCAACAACAGAGAATGAGGAGGAAATATAATTGTGCCCTTCATTACCTTGTACAGTGATTAGAAGAGATTGGTGGTTAATTTTCACCCTGTCAGGGCTTCCAGTGAAGATGTTGATAGCTTGAGAGGAGGAGCTGGGAGGCTCTTAGAAGTCGGGCTTAGGAAAAAGATGGGAATTGTATCATGTGCTTCTCACTTCCCCCCAGATGCTCATACTCTCCCTCTTCTCTCTCCCTCTCTGTCTCTCTCACACACACACACAGACACACACACACACAAACATACATACACAAATTTACACACAAAAAGGCCCTGTAGGAGCATGGGAATACCAAAGCAGATAGAAGAGAATAACAGGAAGGAAATAGTAGTTATCAAGGTCCACCAGGCACTGGACACATGTATGCACATTACAGCCAATCTCCTTGTCATTCTTCGAGGTAGGAATTGTTGTCTACCTTGGAGAAACTGAGGAACACAGCGGCTTCACTATAAGTTACATAATCCATAAGGGAAGAATCTAGGATTAGAAGAATCTCATGGAAGATGAATGACAGTGGGCCCTTGGGAACATGAGGTCACATTCAAAAGTTGGAAGTGGCTGGATTCCTGGAAAACTTCACTGCAAAACAAGCAGAAAGACTCCTAGATGGATAGATCTCAGCGTTGAGTGTCACTCTGCAGACCTCATGAGGTACTTCAGTTCTCCTTGAGCAAACTTATAGTCACTGCCTCTACCTTCAAACTCAGGTTGTTCCCATTCCCTGACGAGGTGGCCGTGTTCCATGATGCCCTGGAGTTCCTTAGGACACTCCATTAACTTAGGGAATGATGAAATAACCTAGTCGTTCCCATTTCCTCTTTACAATTCAGTTTGGTCCCACTTTCTATTTTTCCCTGATGCAATAAAAATGATAAACGCAGATGTTTATTGGAGTTATGTGCCTAGTTCTGTGCTAGAGCCTGTTGAAGATACCAAAGAACTGAAATACCCAGCCTCTGACCTAGTCACTGTACAAGAGTTAGGAGTGAGAATTCTATCAAAGGCACATTCTTATCACAATAAGTCTGCAGGATCTCTATGACTACTACAAAGAAACAGCATGCATTGTACTATATGGCTTGAGAATATTGAATAAAACTTCAGTTTTGATGTTGTAAAAGTCTGCCATATCTAATGGTTTCCAGTGTTTCTCGTTCATTCTTTTCAAACAAGATTCCCAAATTTGGTTAAGGCAAAGCTAACCCTGAACATTGAGTCTCATATCCAAACCTTATCAGAAGTATCAAAACTTCCTGGTTGTGCAAATTGGGTTGAATATCCTATAATAAGAGACATTCTTTGGATATTTTGGCCATGCACCTTCTTGGCCCAGCTGGAATTAAGAAGTTCCTGAGACAGAAAAAAAATGGAAATTAACCGAAAAAATCAAGTTATCTCTCTTCTGGGAACTTTAGAACCTGGTTTGGTTTAAGTGCTTGCAAAGATCTCTTATTGTTCTTATTTTGTCTCCATGTTTCACATTTCTCTAATGCTTTACACAAAAGGCTGCCAAAATGAGATGTTGATATTCCTTCCTTTTACCCCTACCCCCAGCATTTCTACCAAAGTCTGTTTCCTCCTATCCAAACATTTCCTCCTTTGCAGCGGCCTGAGTAGGAAATGGAAATATTAAGACTATCTGGAATTTACAGTGCTCTCTTAAGGGATTACAGACCTTCAGTCAACCAACCAATTTATTTGGTTAATCCTTTGAGGGTAAAACTTAGACTAAGCATTTTGAGGGCAGTAGTTTGAGGGCCAAAGTAAAGAAAACTTTTCAAAGAATGAGAACTATCCACAGTGGGATGGAGTGCCTTGTGATATAAGAAGTTCCCCATTATAAGACATTCAGTCTGGGCAGCTGACTGAACAGAAGATTCCTTTACTAGAAGGCAGGTGAGACCTAGGTATGCCTCTTTTCTTTGTAATTTATTCTCTGACTTTATGTCCCATTAACCCACAATTGGGTATATTAGTCCTTGACCACTTCATTTTGAGTTGCTATTATTATTCCTTGGCCCATTCATAATACTTCATGCCTCTACTAGAATACAAACCAGGCTGGGCACAGTGGCTCACGCCTGTAATCCCAGTGCTTTGGGAGGCTGAGGCTGGCAGATCACCTGAGGTCAGGAGTTCGAGGCCAGCCAACACGGTGAGACCTCATCTCTACTAAAAACACAAAATTTAGTCGGTTGTGGTGGCAGGCACCTGTAATCCCAGCTGCTTGGGAAGCTGAGGCAGGAGAATTGCTTGAACCTGGGAGGTGGAGATTGCAGTGAGACAGTGCCATTGCATTCCAGCCTAGGTGACAAGAGGGAAATTCCATCTCAAAATCAATCAATCAACCAATCAATCAATAAAATGCAAACCATACTACGCCTTGCGAGATAACAATTTATGTATTAATTTATTTATTCACTTGATTGAACAGAAATATGTTTGAGTCCTGCACTAATGAATGTGAGAGAGAGCACGTCCGTTAATGAGGTGAAGTAGAAATCATGCAGATCTGGCTCTGCTCTCTTAAATTCCGTTCTGACATGGAAACCTTGAGTAAGTTACTCTTCTGGGAATCTTAGTGTCCTATAGAAAATGAGAATGATAACATCTACCTGGTAGAAATTAAGATGAATGATATCTACCTGGTAGAAATGAAGGATGCAGAGAAAACACTCTGGGCTCGGTTTGTTCACTTGA